ATGTAATCTCTTTCCTGTATCTTCAGTGTTGTTGAATATTGGTGTTACTTATAAAAACAGTTGGTTGACTTTCAGTTGGACAGTAGAAAGGTTATTTTTCTCCTCTCTTCTCTTTGGGTAAATTCGGATTTTATTAAGAAATGTAAATTTCTCCATGTTAGTTTTTATGCACACAAAAAATGTAGTATCCCTGGTTTCATTTGGGCAATTGGTGAGTCTGAAGACCTGGAAAGATTTTTCATTGCATTTTAGGTATGAAGATGGGTAGGGTTTGTTCTTGACTTTCTGGATTTGTGACAAGTTACAAGTCTACCAGTTTCTGGTATGAGGGGGGAGGTTATATTTTCTGATTGTGTGGTTGATCATAGAGGAAACAAGGATGAATTTTTAAGGCAGTACTGTGTAGAAAGATGTCTGGGTGGATGTGGCCCTCTCATAATTGATTCAAGAACAGATAATGCCGAGTGGAACACAAGCAAGCTGAGTGACTGTGTGGAAAAACGGAGCCTCGAAGCACCAGCGTCCAGTTGTGGAGGACAGGGCTTGTGCCTGCATTTGCTTTTTTTTTTTTTTTGCGGTGTGTGGGCCTCTCGCTGTTGTGGCCTCTCCCGTTGCGGAGCACAGGCTCCGGACGCGCAGGCTCGGCAGCCATGGCTCACGGGCCCACACGTGGGATCCTCCTGGACCGGGGCACAAACCAGCGTCCCCTGCATCGGCAGGCAGACTGTCAACCACTGCGCCACCGGGGAAGCCCTGCATTTGCTTTTGAGAGAAGCTTTCTAAGATTTGTGTGAGGATTGGATGGAAATAAATTGGTGGCTCGATTGGAGGGGTAGGGGTTGTTCTTCCACCACTCCATCTCCCTTCTGTATTGACCAAGGCCGTGGCACTTGGAATGATTGACTTCCATAGCAGAAAAACGAACCCGATTTTCTGTTGAATCGGACTGATAAACTTTTGTGTTTTTCTTTGGAATCTGTCTTGCTGTCGTGTGAACACATTGATAGTATCGCTGAATGTCACAATATTGATCACGGTGACTACCTGTCTCAGAAACTGTGACTTCAAGTGTCAGAGGCTCTGTGAACCCTTCTGCCTGAACAAGCCCTGATGAAACCTAGCGATGCGCATGTCAAGGGAATTGGAGGCTTGGAATCCCATTCTGGGTTTATGGAGCAGCTCTTGACAGATGCATTGAGGGGGGCGGTACTTGCCATTCTGGATACCTGGCACATTGGCCTGTTGTTTATAGAAAATATATTAAGGAGAGAAGGTAATAAATTGTTAACTTTTCTCTCTCTCTCTTCTGCCTTCATTCTTTCCAGCTTTTCCTTTTTCCTTTCTTTTGTTCCCCACCCCCACTTTTAATTTTAATTTTATTTTTTAACAACTTTATTGGAGTGTAATTGCTTTACCCTCCCCCCCTTTTTTAGCTCTCATTAACTTGTTAGTGAGTGATGAATGGCCAGTTTGTGAGACTTAGCCTTTTCTGAAAGCTTCAGGATAACGTTCCAAGATAATTAGCTATGTTTAAAGGTCTCCTTTATATGTGAACAACATTGAAAACATCCAGTTGTTTAGGCCAGTATAACCTTCATCAGTGACCAGTAGAAGTCATGATTTCTTTGTTTAAGACAAAGAAATGGTAGAAGAATATGGTCTCACTTCCTGTGGAGATGAGGCTTCTTAAGAACTTTGCTTGATACTACAAGCTAAAATTTATGAAATATTATAGCTGTATTCTCTCACCGCCACCCAGAACTGGTACTGACCCAGATTGGGGTCCTGCTGGAGTTAATGTGACTGTTGTATTTGCCAGAGCTGCAAGACTGAACTAGAACAAGACTGGATTGTGGAGCCTAGAAAAGCCAGCTACTGCACGGGGCAACTCTCCTTTATTAGTTGGTCCTTAACAGAGTGTGCAGGGTCTCTGTACACCTAAGGAGTGCCTCCACTGCAGAGCTCACCTAACTTTAGATCATTGGTTTTCAAAATGCAGTGAATAGTTTATTTGACAGAAAGCAACAGTGCTTCCCCTGACCGTTGATTTTTTTAAAAAATTTCATAGACGTGCACAACTATATTCTGGGTATTCTTCTAGGCTTCTGGTGAACACAGCAAGGACTGCCAGGACAATGCATTTCTGAGCGGCTCTCTGAAATATGCCAGCGCCTTCTTTCAAAGAAAGCATTACTCACCTCATATGATCTGACCCGTGTCCAATCTGCACAGCTCTCTCTCTCTTCTTTTTTTCCTCTTCTCAAGGACTGATGAAAGTTTGCGAGTATTTTGATCCCATCTCCCCTCCTCGCTTAGTTTCAGGCCCTGGGGGAGGAACAGTTGTGAATGCATCGTGACTCACTGACTCCCACGTTTCTGATTCTGGTTCTGATTGGTTGTCACCTTGCTCTAGCCATATGGCTTCAGAGTACTCTAGCCTGCGTCCCTTTCTTGTTCTTTCCCCTACTGTTCCCTTCTGTTGTACAAAACACTGGGAGTGGGTTCCAAGCTTTGTCTCTTGCTTCTAGTTTAACCCGGTTAGGCAGTAAGTAGGAGAGCACACTGTATTTCCTAAAAACGGCTATAGAGGAGAAAAGCACCCTTTCCTTTTGTGCCTGGTATAGTAATTATTTAGTTTCCTGTGCTGTTGTTTTTTTCTTTTAATTTATTTATTTATGGCTGTGTTGGCTCTTCGTTTCTGTGCCAGGGCTTTCTCTTGTTGCGGCTAGTAGGGGCCACTCCTCATTGCGGGGCGCGCGTCTCTCACTATTGCGGCCTCTCTTGTTGCGGAGCACAGGCTCCAGACGCGCAGGCTCAGTAGTTGTGGCTCACGGGGCTAGTTGCTCCGCGGCATGTGGGATCTTCCCAGACCAGGGCTCGAACCCGTGTCCCCTGCATTGGCAGGCAGATCCTCAACCACTGCGCCACCAGGGAAGCCCTCCTGTGCTGTTTTTATTCAAAGTTTATTTTTTGGCAGGTGTCACATTTGTGTTTGTATTTTTTCCTCCTGGTTTCTCTCCTCCCCCTGATTGGAGCTGGGGGGTTTTGTTTTTGTTTTGGTAAAGGGACTAAGAATGATGCTGTACTTTAGCTGGTTTGTTAATATGTTCGATTAATGCTGATTAATATGTTGGGGAGGGGGACTGAAAGCACCTCTAAATAATTACTTAATTGTTAAATGTCTTATTGTTCTGGCAGTCACCAAGCAATAAAGTCTACGTGTGGTACTCAGGATTATCCATGCCACTGCTACTGTTACTTCCCCTTCTCTTAAACTATATCTATTCAATTACCTAAGTTTTACACTTGAGAAATAGGATTTTGAAGACTTGAAAGTTATTTTTTAAGAATTTTTTTTATTAATTTGTATTTTTAGTGTTCTGCAGATGGTTTCTGGAAAGACTTTGGACTCTACATCTTTTCTTTTTAATATTTAACTGCTCAAAGAGGTGTTGCTAGCAGAGTACAAAGTATAGCAGACCCGCCCCCCCCCCCCCCCCCCCGCCCAAAATTGGCCTTTATGTGATATTTTCATTGCCTAAAAAGAATCAGTAATAAAAATATTAAAATTTTTCTCAAGAATGTATTTTGTATTGACTTAAAGTTTTTAAAAATCCATTTTGTAAATGTTCTTAATGTTCAAATATGTCAAGGAAGTAACCTGCAGGTTTGGATTCTTTAGAGAGTGTGTGTAGTGAAGTTGGTTAGAATCATAGGCAGGAATGTGAAATCAACCCGGCCCTTATGGTTTCACTTAACCCCTTATTTAAAGATCTTCATTTACTTCTTCTCTATTTAAATCTATATGAGAAGACAGTAATCTATTTTTGTCAGAAATAACAAACCTCAGCTGGTGAACTCACTTGAAAGTGTAGGCGAGGAGTGCTGCTTATACTTTCTTCCAGCCATTAGGGCAGGAGAGTCAGAACCCAGGTCTGACCCCAAATGGTTGTTGTATTTTCTCTGAGCCATTTGCTGGTCTTTGGTTCCATCACTTCACACATCATGTGAAGAGAATGAGGACATTTACTTAGCCACCGTAGTTCTAGATGCAGAGTTTAGTTGTGAACAAAATAAATCCGTACCCGCATGGAGCTTACCTTTTGTTGAAATGTATTATTATAGTAATGAAGGTTTCCAAATGCACCATTTTCTTGGATTTCAACAAGGCCAGAAAATTCCAAAAACCTTAATTAAAAATTTTCATCCCGTATAGCTAAAACACTACTCTGCCTAAGCAAATGTATGTGTTTTCACAGATCCTGTCCCAGCAAAGCAGTGCTCATGAGTTACATGTTTCAGTTATTTACAGTGTCTGTCGTGTATATTGCATAGTGCTGGGATCAAGGTTTCTTTGTTTAAAAGTCTGTTTAATGTTTGAAACTGCCATTAGGTACATGATGTTTGTTTGATTAACAAAAATTACTGTAGTATAACTGGTATGTATGTTACCAGATGCAAAAAAAATAAATGACCAACAGTGTGTGCCACTCATAGTTCCGAGTACTTTACTTGAGGCAGTTTGGTACTCGTAAGAATCCTAAGGATATTATTAATCACCTCATCTTTACAGAACAGGAAGTTGAGGCACAGATAGGTTAAGTGGCTTGACCAACATCATATAGCTGGTAAGTAGCAAAACTGAAATTTGAATTGAGGCAGTATGTTTGCAGAGTTGTGTCTTCACTGCTACGTTATACTGCCCTTCCAGCCCAGCACGCTAAATAATAATAGTCAAGGAGTCTCAGCTCTGCTATGCGACCTCCATTAGCTTTTCTTCTCATCTGTGCCTCCGTTTCCCTTTATAGATTGATATAAAATGTTACTTATGCCATGGGTTTCTCCTCAGTTGTCTAATCTGTAAATTTTAGAGGTAACAAGATCTAGAATAAGCTAGTTACAGAAAAGATGTCAGAGGCATATAATTCCTGCCTATTTCTGTACAGCTGAGATAGAACAATATTCTGATAGATTTTATTCTTTTTTGTCCTCCTTTGTAGAAAAGAGTAGTTGAACAGCTTCGGAAGAACCTGATAGTAAAGCAAGAACAACCAGACAAGTTCCAAATACAGCCATTGCCACAATCTGAAAACAAACTACAAACAGCACAGCAGCAACCACTACAGCAGCTACAGCAGCAACAGCAGTACCACCACCACGCCCAGTCGGCTGCATCCTCTCCCAGCCTGACTGCTTCACAGGTACAAGTGTGGATGGAGCACCTCGGGCTTCGTGCTGTAGGCTGATTTGCTATGGGTCATGGAGAACTAGGTCCTGTTTCAGACTATGTTACCAACCTCAACCAGCACTAAACAAAGGTTATTTTGGTTACTTTTTTATACTGTACTGGGATGATAATCACTTGAAATTCATTGCCTGAAGGAAATGACATTACCAAGGAGTAAAAGTTAAACTGATTTCCCATCTGTCCAAAGAAGGAGAAAAGGTAATCAGTGACAACAAAATATCACTTCTCTGTATTAGAACAGAATTAACGTCTTCTTTTGAACTTCTGGAAGTATTTATTTGCACTTGTTCTAAAAGTCTTTGTGACTTGACCCTCAGGAATTGTTTTTCTGGAATTCTTAGCAATTTTAGATGTGGAGATATTCCAGGATCAATACCCATGGAACCAGGTAGAAAGAGGCATTTAGAAGGTGGTATATTTCATAGAAATGAAATATTCATTTCCAAGTCCGGTTCCTCTCATACGAGAATATGTATCTGTTCTCATATACTAAAGGAAATCTGAAATGGAAGCTACAGGTCAAAAATAGCACTAAGGGGTGGGAAGCCTAATAATATGCTAATTGGTGTAGCTGTGCAAATGATTTTACTGAAAAGGGCATTTACACTACCATATAATGTAAGGATATTGAGGCAATCAAGACACACAAAAAGGACATATTTGGGAATGTTTCTATTAAGAAAAGTATTCAAGCTTGATCTCCACATACTTATATGTAGTGTGGGCATACCTTTTAAAATGGGACACTTGAGCAGTGGTTCTTGATCTTTGGAGGTCCCAGACTCCTTTAAGACTGTTGAAAGCCATGGATTCCCTCCCTGGAAAAATACACACTCACACCTAATACAGTCATTTTTGCACATGGTTTCAAAGACTTTGGGATCTTCTGAAACCTGAGCATGGACACCTCTCACCCACCAACACCATCTTCACTGTATCTATATGTAGAGCAAAAGATTTTAGTTTACTTGGTTAGTCACCACTTATGGACATTGGGCTGGTTCATATACAATATTTTGCAAATGAAAAATACATTACTTACAAAAATACTGAAGATTACTAAAGATAGTTAACAGTTAATAGAGGTTACCATATACTGGCATTGTCCTAAGCACTTTACATGTATAACATACAGAGTCCTCACCCCATCCTACTAAGGACAGTATTATTATTATCTCTGTTTTTTAGAAAAGAAAACTAAGGCACAGAAAGATTAAGTAATTACCTAAAATCATATATCTATTATATGGTGGAGCCAAGATTTGAACCCAGATGTTCTGGTTAAAAATTCCGCCCATTCGCTACTGTAGACTGCCATACAATACCAAAAAGAGAAATGCCAACATTATATAAAATGCCAAAGAAGGAAAATGAAGAATCCCTGTTGTAAATCAGGTAGCTAGAGTGGCCTACATCATTTTTACCCTAATCTCCAAGGCTATTTGGAAATTAGGCATTCAAACTGACTTTAAACCCCCCCTGACCAGCATTTATATTTCTTCTAAAAGATTGCCTATAAGTTTACTTTTTTTGGAGTTTTAAACAGAGTTGGATTGGTTGTTCTCGTCTCAAAGTACAATTTGATCAGAAAGTGTTTACATGGAAGGAGTGTGGTAGAATTCATTGTTTCCTGGTACTAGGAATTTTCTCTCCTAACCCATGGAAACTTTCTGTTCAAGTACCATTCCATATCACACAAATCAGAGAAAATACTTATATAATACTTACAATAGCTATTTCCTTCCCTGGTAATCTGAGTTCTGTGCTGCTTTGGGATGGTAATAGTAAGGGGCCTAGGGCTATCCCCAAAACAGTGTTATGTGGCATCCCTCCATCTGGTAGCCCACCTGATATATTTAATTGATTTAGCTAAGCTTGTTTTATATTATTTTGTTTTGTTTAATGTTAAAAGCCATAAGATCTCTAGGTTATTGGGTTTTGTTTTTATAGTAAACTGTCAGTCATTATTTATCACGTGCTCCTTATATGAGAGCTTCTGGTATATAAAGAGGTAGTAATGGTCCCTGCCTAGAATCTGGTAAACTATGATAATTATTTTCATTCATTATGTAAATACTTATTGAGTCTCTACTATATGCAAGCTTTCTGTTAGGCAATGTCTTGTAAATAAGACAGAATTTCTGTCTTCAAGAGCATAACAAATTTAGAGGAGAGGAAGATGTAAACGGCTAACAAAGAAGAATAAAATGAAAGCACCTGTGAAAGTACCAGAGGACAGTAATATTGACTAGAGGGATCAGAGAGTGCTTCCTAAAGGAGGTGGCTTTTGATCAGGGCCTTGACAGATAAGTGAGATTTCAGTGATGGAGCACAGGGGGAAGAGCATCGAGGTGTAGAGAACAATGTGAACAGAAGTATGGACTCAAAAAAGTAAATGCGTGTCTTGGAAATAGCAAGTAGGCTGATGTGGCTGGAGCGTGGATTCCAGGAAATGGTGGAGAGGGATATAAAACCAGAAGGTAGGAAGAGGCTAGCTTGTGGAAGCCCTCCAATATGTGGCAGAACTTTTGGGGGTTTTGGCAGTCATAGGGAGTCATTAAAGATTCATGAGGTCAGGGACAAATGGGAAGTTTAATATACGGCATATACTAAATTTCTAAGTCCAGAAAGGATTAACTATTAATTTAGCAATCGGCATGGGCAGGGAGGAAGGGCTAGAATGAGAAAGCGTTTTATTCTAAGTCAGGTGATTAGCATGTACCAAGTCATGGGGCAGTGGGAGGATCAGTCCCCTTTACTCAGCTAACGCCAGCTTATGTTTGTATGTATATTTTGAAATTTTTCCAAACTACAGAAAAAAAAATGAAAGAATAGTTGAACACAGGCGTACCCTTCAACTTAAATTCACAACTCTGTCATTTTAAATGAGTACAAATGTAAAGAGGCATGCAGTTAATAAAACCAAACAGAAAATAAGCCCTCATAGACAGAAGGAGGAGGGGTTCTATTGATAGTTGTCCGAGTGTACAACAGTTACCTTCCATTCAAAATTAAACAAATAGGGATTTCCCTGGTGGCGCAGCGGTAAAGAATCCGCCTGCCAATGGGGCACGGGTTTGATCCCTGGTCCAGGAAGATCCCACATGCCGTGGAGCAACTAAGCCTGTGTGCCACAGCTACTGAGCCTGTGCTCTAGAGTCCTCGAGCCACAACTACTGAGTCCACGTGCCACAACTTCTGAAGCCCATGTGCCTAGAGCCCGTGCTCTGCAACAAGAGAACCCACTGCAGTGAGAAGCCCGCACACTGCAACAAAGAGTAGCCCACCGCTCGCTGCAACTAGAGAAAGCCTGCACGCAGCAATGAAGACCCAACGCAGCCAAAAATAAATAAAATTTTTAAAAAATTAAACAAATAGTCTAAAATAGGTGTGGAAGTTAATTAGAGCCCATAGTAATAATCCCTCTAAGTTCTGATTTGTACGTTGGAGTTTATCTTTTTTAAATCGATACCTCGTGCTTTGCAGGTAAAAAAAAAAAAAACTTAGCAAAAAAATAAAAGGATTTTGCTGTCAGTGCTTCTTGCCATGTATTTTCTGCATTAACTTCTAGTTCATGCAGTTTGGGTTTTGTTCATAAAGAACCCCTTCATGAAACTGGGGAAACTGCTGTCATCTTTTGAAGGTGATCATACTTGGATAGCATCAACCAGCCAAGGACTAATCACAGCTTCCATAAAAATAATTTTTTTTTTCTGGGCACCTTTCCTCACTGTCTTCTCTTCCTCCTGCCAGAACAATTCAGAGGTTTTCATTAGGTTTGGATATCAAAATTCTAGATTCTCTCTGTCATCAGAACTCCAGGAGTTTGATTTATGTTCCCTAGTACTTAACAGTAGAATAAGCACCAGACCAGGAGTGAAGATCTAAGCAGTACCTGTGTCAATACCTGGTGTCAGTAAATGGTTTGCAAATAAATGTAGTCTTCAAAAGCTTTTCATCAGTGCATATAGTACTAGGTCTTGTGCCTCTGTATACAAAGAGAGTTATGTAGATGCTAGAATAGATGGAGTGAAATTAGCTACAACCAAATATTTATAAAGTAGAATAAAAATGCTAACCTAACCTATGAACAGACTTGTTAGAATTCAGTGCTTTTTAGTGTTGCAGGTAATGCTAAGTATATAAATCAGGTGAGTTTGAGGTTTTACTCACTTTTTAAGAAAAATTATTCAAAAGATTGTTAATGACTTACCTGATCAAGGATGTTTTAAACAAAAGCATATTGACCCTCTTTTAAAGTAGAACCAACATGCATGACTGTGTTTAAAATCCATGTCAGTGAGTTCTGCTGACTAGAGCTTTTCTTCCATAACCTGTGTTGGCACCAGGATTGAATGCCATCTGGTGTGACTTGCTCACCACTTCAAAAAGTTCTTCGTATTTGAATGTTTTAAATTGATGGAGAGAGCTAATATCACACTGGGTTAAAAACACATATTAAAAATAGCAGGTAATACAAAGTCAGTCCCGCTGCTACACTACTGTAACATTTCTGATGATAAATAGCACTTAGCTTTTATTTGGTTTTCATCACTGATAGGCAGGATGACCTGCTACCTCCCAAAATAAATAATTATCCGTGTTCCCCCTTTTACTCCCATTTCACGCTTGAGAGGACAACGGCAAGGAGAATGAGCCATTCTGTATTGTTGACTTAGAGAAGAGGAACCTATTTGGGTGATTTTAATTGCAGGCACCAATAAGGATTGCTCATTAGGCTGTGATGGGATAGACAGGGCCAGATTATGACATTGTTTAGGTTAAAAGAAAAAAAAGTTGTTAATGCATGCATGTATGTGTTTAAGGTAGAAAAATTACTTAGAACCAAACAATACACAAGGGCTTGCATAGACACTGAAATAGAAATTCACAAAGGAATTTGTTCAGATCTGTTTCAGGGAGAGTGGGGTCCTTTTCCCTGGTCGAGGGCAGTGCTGTCCAGTAGAACTTTCTGTAGTGTTGGAACGCTCCACTGTCCGGTTTGGTAGCCACTAGCCGTGTGTGGCTGTAAACATGTGAAATGTGGCTGGTGTGACTGAGGAACTGATGTTTTAATTTTTATTTTGTTTTCATTAAATTTGAATACCTGCATGAGGCTATTAGCTACCAAACTGAACAGTGCCAGTAAGAAGAAAAAGGTGAAATAATATCAAAATCAGAACCAACAAGTTAGACCAGGTATATTTTCACGTTTCGGAAACATCTCTATCTTGAGTGACTAGTAGCATTCGATAGGTGTGTATGCCATGAAATGAGGTTGTTTATATTTTCTTGTTTTGTAGCTGGCTCCTTTAATTACTCTAATAGAAAGTCTAGAAAAATACAGCTTCAAAGCTGCAGTAGCGCTTGTGGAGCATCAGTCCTCTCACCTCAGTTCAGACTCTGATCTATAAGACTTTCTGAAACTCAGGTGTTCGTTTCCACCTTGTCGCCTTTTTCTGGATCTTTCCTCACTTCTGCAGCAGTCCTGCAGAGCAAAGATTGTAGGTTGTGATTCATATCCCTTTGGTATCAAGAGCTGGTATTTAGTATACTAGTTGGTTAATAGGTTTCATTATCTGGAGTTTGGGATTTACTGCCTTTGAGGCACCAATTGTACTAATTCTTATGTGAGTTGCCCTTCCTCTTCTCCAGGGTGGCACTCAAAAGAATTAAAAGACACTGTCGTTTTATCCCAGCCTTTGTGTCACAGGAGGCAGATATCCAGAATTATATGATAGCTTTCTTCATATTGAAGAGGTTGTAGCAATTAATGATAGAGATGGTGTGTACCTCATTGATTTGCAACTTCTACAAAATTTAAATTAATTGAGAGCAAGCAAAGAATTAGAAAAATCAGAAGAAATAGGTATACTCATATTCTGTATCTGTAAACCCACCCCCTTCCTTGTTGAGAACCCTGTGCCCATATTAGTCTGCAGTTATTACTATGAACTTAAAGCTAAATTTGAGAACTCTGGCAAACTAGAGATTGCCTTTCCGTATAGTAAGAACCGTGCTTTATGTACACGAAAGAAATGTTGTTACACCAAGAAACTTGACTGATGATGAGAATTATTGCTTTGTTTTCTTCTGGAGGCTAGCATTTTGTTTAGTGGGATGACACTTCAGCGTCCTAATGTCTGTTCTCCATGTCTCCTAGAAGACTGTAACTACAGCTTCTATGATTACCACAAAGACACTACCTCTCGTCTTGAAAGCAGCAACTGCGACCATGCCTGCCTCTGTTGTGGGCCAGAGACCTACCATTGCTATGGTGACCGCCATCAACAGTCAGAAGGCTGTGCTCAGCACTGATGTGCAGAACGCACCAGTCAACCTCCAGACGTCTAGTAAGGTCACTGGGCCTGGGGCAGAGGCTGTCCAAATTGTGGCAAAAAACACAGTCACTCTGGTAAGCCAGCAGCTGCTACTCATGTGTGCCCACATGCGAGGGTTCAGGATGTGCATTTGTGGAGTATATCCATTTTATGCTCCTGCTGGATTTTTCGGTCTCCATCACTCTTCTATCATACCAGATTCCCCTTCGGGGCTGACAAGGGAATATGGCATTCCTGCTACCTATTTAAATAACTATAGAGGTGTTCTTACACCAAGGATCAAAACTCTTTGAGGTATTATCTGAGGCCAAAGGATGACTTGACTTAAGGGGGGAAAATGTCCTTCACAGAGGCATTTACACTGTTTCATGTATCTCTCCCTCTATCCTAACCACACTCCTTCCTGTGAAACTAGAGTGCTTAAACTCTCTGGTACTATGTTACCAATTTGGGGAAAATGCTGTGAATTTTTTTAGTACACTCTTCCTTGAAATTGCACTCGGGAAGTACTGGAGCTAGTTGGGCACTTAAAAATTTTTCAAGAAACTCACAAATAACAGTGTACATGTCCAAGGTCCATCAGAAAAAAGATCCCTAGAAGGAAGAAGCACTTGAATAAAAATTGTTCTTGAGATTTCTAGGGTAAAACTGTCTAAAAACTGTTTTCAGAATATACCCAAATTGTAGTTTAAATGTCCATTCTTAAAATGGAAGCTAAGAGCTCTTAGTGGCTTTCGAATAATGACCAGTGGTGAGTGAAACTAGAGGGCATTAAAGTGAAGCTTTACTACTTACCCAGGAATCTTTAGGGGAGTAACCAGATCACTCAGCCGGACGCTGAGAGCTAGAACATTCTCTGTAGGAATAAAGCCGTTCACTGTTATGTAAAGCTCTTATATTAGGAAAAAGCCCATTTGTCCAGGCAGCAAGTTGGATTTTCCTTTGGATCCAGTGTTGACTTTTAAAATACGTAAGTGCGGTAAAGCAATTATACCCCAATAAAGATGTTAAAAAAAAAAATAAAATAAAATACATAAGTGCAAGAGTTCTTGAACGTCAGAGGAAATTGTGATTGCTGAGCTTGCTGTGTTCTACGTTAGCTGTGTGAGGAAACAGAAATGAGGTTGGTTTACTTTATGGGGTAAAGCCTGCAAGCAGGAGAGTAAACAAGTTTCTTAAGGCAGTGTTAATTCAGATGATTAACTCTACGATGAAAGCTTATAGAAAATATTGTCTGATTGAGAGAATAGTGATGCTGAAAATACTTTAAGAATACCATCTTTGATATTGAATAATTATTTTCCTCTCTGATTTACTTTTCTCATTTTTTAGCAGGTTCAGGCAACACCTCCTCAGCCCATCAAAGTACCACAGTTTATCCCCCCTCCTAGACTCACTCCACGTCCAAACTTTCTTCCACAGGTGAGTAAATCAGTTGACAAGCCCAGTGATGGGTTAGGTGGGACAAAAATCCTTGTGAGCCCTTTCTGAGCAGCCTATAATGCACTTGTCAGTTCAGCTGTATTCAGATCCCACTTAGCTGAGGATTCTAGCTGCTGATCTCTATACCATGAAGAAGCTTTTTTTTTTTTTTTTTTTTTTTTTTTTTTGGCTGCACTGCACAGCATGTGGGTCTTAGTTCCCTGACTAGGGATCGAACCCATGCCCGCTGCAGTGGAAGCTCCGAGTCTTAATCACTGGACCACCAGGGAGGTCCCACAAAAGGAGCTTTATTTATTTTTAATTGGAGTATAGTTGCTTTACAGTATTGTGTTAGTTTCTGCTGTACAGCAAAGTGAATCAGCTATATACAGCTATATACGTATACCCCCTCCTTTTTGAATTTCCTTCCCATTTAGGTCACCACAGAGCATTGAGTAGAGTTCCCTATGCTATACAGTAGGTTCTCATTTGCTATCTGTTTTATATTTAGTAGTGTGTATATGTCAATCTCAATCTCCCAGTTCATCCCACCCCCAACCCTTTCCCCCCTTGGTTCTCTACATCTGTGTGAGAAGAAGCTTGTTTTATCATCAGGGTTTCTTAACAATGATGAAAGGCTGTAGCAGAGGGATGTAAGGAAAGGGAAATTTTCCTAAATTTAAAATAATTAAGATAGCACCATTTTAAACCTTATAATGTTGACTTACTGGAAGAATTTAGCCAGAACTGCCTGCCAGTGGGGAAGGAACGCAGTTACCACTTCTTCCCCACAACCTCCCACCCCACTCGCTGTATGCCAGGGAGAGTAGGAAAGGAGACAATAGTGACACTAACTGGTAGGAAGTGTTCGGTTCTACTCTGGAAAGTGATGGCATAGAGCATCATTCTTAAACACAAAGTCTTGATGATAAAGATTCAGACTAGGAAGCTGCACAGGGAACTTTCTACCTAGACCCAAGCAACTCTACCCATATCCTCATGAGAGTATTCTTCCAGCAATTGGCTGAACTCACCATTCTTATGGCAGAATGTCATGATTGTCCCAGTCTGGACCTTGAGAGGAGTTGACTTGCCTGGTAGAAAGATTGGGTGTTTCTGTCTGAAGCCTCAGCTTTCAGGCAAAGAGAGAAGGGAAAGGATGTGTGTGGTCAGTGGCCATAAGTGATTTCTGAATTGCCTGTGGGGAGGGGATGGGCAATGCTAACATAAGATTATTTCAATCGTCTATCAGATAAATTCTTAATGAATACCTTAGGTATCAAAAGAGCACTAAGAACTATGGATATGAAGTTTTCAAGATAGTTCTCAGCCTCATAGAGCTTCAGGCACATGTACAGGCAATTACTGTGTCCATTATGGGAAGTACAGGGTAGTCTGAGAATCCATGGGAAGGACAGCCAACTCATTCTTAGAATATTACAGAAAGTTTCCTTGAAGAGTTGACATTCCATCTTAGACCTAAAATCCTAGTGAAGTTAGCTTGAGAAAGTTTTGGGGGAAGAAGAAAAATGTCCCAGGCAGAGAGAAGAGCCTATATGCAAGTCCACAATGCAGAGAGACATGTTGGCTTAAGGAACCAAAGGAAATTTGGTGTGGCTGAGCACAGTGGGCCATGTGGCTGACTCAGGCTAGAGTAAGGTGAGGCTGGAGAAGCCCATAGGCCAAAGCCTTTGGAACCTTGTAGGCTATATAGGAATTAGGGCCTTACGTAGGAACAGTGGGGCTCCATTAAATTACTTTCAAACAGGTACTTGACATGATCAGATTTTTGTTTTAGAAAATTCCCTCTTACCACTGTGTGGAGAATAGATTGGAGATTGTCAGGAATGTGGCAGGAAAAACAGGACATTGTCAGCGATAACAGTAGCTAATATTTAGAGAATCTTGCTAATGTGACACTTACTGCACGAGGCACTGTACATGGGTTATCTATTTTAATCCTCACAACAACTCTGTGAAAGTAGGTATTCAGGTAAGAATCTAAGAATAAGAACCTAAGGCTTAGTCTTTGTCTTTCAAACGGTGGGGCGTGACCCATTAGTAGGCTGTGAAATCAATTTAGTGGATTGTAACCAGAGTTTTTAAGTAAAATGAACAAGACAATAGGAAATGTTAGAGTATGTAGCACGTAAGTATTTTTTCATGAAGTTTTTATGTTAGAGAGGTAGAGATAAATATGTATGCGTATTGGTTACAGCGTGAAACATATTTCCTGTTGTGTATCCACAGCACACACTATAGGGTTGTCTTAGATGCAGCTAAGTATTCAGACTCACAAGACTATCAGAGGCCACACTTGGCACCAGTCTACTTGGAATGATATAGGACAGAAACCAGAGCTTGCCAGCAAGACAGCTTCTTCAGTAGGAATCCCTATAGCAGTCCATATAATAGTCTCTACGGCTGTCCAGGGACTGCTCAGGTACAGGGAAGTGAGATCTTTATCAGGTCAGTGGGAGAGCCACCCTAGCACAGAAATCTTATGCCTTACAGGAGCCTAATATATCTTATAACAATTCTATAGGCATGGCTTTCAAAGTCCCCGCAGTGGACAGGCACAGTTACAAGAGTCACCCCATTTCAGGAAGCCCAAAGCAGGGTGTCTCATCGTCTTTTTTTTTTTTTTTAAACAACTTAAAAATGTTTATTTTTAATAACGTATTTCCATCTCTGCTTTTTGCAAGTAATGGAAATGTTAGATTTGATTTAGCAGCAAGAGGTCATTTGTACCATAAGCAGTGTTGCCTGCTAACATAGTTGACATTCTTCCCTTATCAGGTTTCCAGGGGTATACAGCTAGAGAGTTAACTGAAGGTGAAATTCTTATGCATAAGGAGAAAGGATTTTGCCCACAGGTCACAGTTTAGAAAGTTTGAAAAGTACTCTTGGAGAGATTAGGTGTGTTATCTTAGGTTACACAGCTAGCTAGTAAGTGGTAGAACCAGAATTTGAACCCAGGCAAGGCTGATCCCATGTTATTAATCACAGTTTTCTGCCACTGTTTCAGTAAAGCAAACACAGCTAGAGTAGTGGTAGTAAGGATAGAAAGTAGACATATCTGAGAAGGATTTAGGAAGTAGAGGTAGAGTAGGAAGCATTAGGAATGATTCTGAAGTTTTTTTAGTAAGAAAGGGGCATTTACTGATGTAATGATTATAGGAAGAAGAAAAGATTGGAAGAAGAAGTTGATGAGTTTTGGACATGCTGATTTTGAACTTCTTGTGAAATTTCCAAGTAGAGATGTATAACAGGGAGTTGAACAAATGACTCTGAAGTTAAGGAACTGTGTGGTCCTGAGATACAAGTGTGGAAGTCTTTAGTATATAGATAGTAGTTGAAGCTGTAGGATGCAGTGAGAGTTCCCGGGAGGAGTGAGGACATTGGGAAGAAAAGGGGTACCAGGACAAAACCCTGAGAAATATTTATATTTTGGATTGGGCAGAGGTAGAGGAAGCCACAAAGGAGACTTAGAGAAGGAGCACCCAAGAACAGGGAGTTAGAGGGCCAGAGATGGGAGTGAACTGAGCTGTGGATATGAAGAAATTTAGAACGTGAATTAAGGGCAGTGGCAGCATTATTACCATACTGGGCACAAGTTCTGGGTGGGACCAGTCTCTGGATTAGGCATTTGACCTCAGCCCGAAGAGGCGGCATGGTATAGGAGAGGGAGCTACGGTTTGGAATCAGAAAAACTACATTCTGGGGTAACATTTGCATCCTCTTAAGAGCTCATGCATCTTTGTAATATTATATATGCTGAGATCTATAGAATTGATAATACTAAAATGGATATTAATATTTGTACTGAATACCATTTCACTCACATATATAGTATAGAGGATCTGGCAATGTCTAAGATTTATAGGACTTGAGAAGTTTAAGTAATGCAATAATTGTTCTTTCTTTCTCCATAGGTTCGACCTAAGCCTGTGGCCCAGAATAACATTCCTATTGCCCCAGCACCTCCTCCCATGCTTGCAGCTCCTCAACTTATCCAGAGGCCTGTCATGCTGACCAAGTTCACTCCCACGACCCTCCCTACCTCCCAGAATTCCATCCACCCCGTCCGTGTCGTCAATGGGCAGACTGCAACCATAGCCAAAACGTTCCCCATGGCCCAGCTCACCAGCATTGTGATAGCTACTCCAGGCACCAGACTCGCTGGACCTCAAACTGTACAGCTTAGCAAGCCAAGCCTTGAAAAACAGGTACAGGCAGAGTACGCACCTTTTTTGGGCAGTAGCTTTGCCATGGAGGCTGGTCAGTCTGTAAGGGGTCTTTATCTTCTCAATGGCTCCTTATGCTAGCACCATTGTCTGTTACTTATCGTGTGATAATTTATCCACAATGCAAAACGGCTGTTCTTACTGAAGAAAGTTGGGTTGCTTTACCCACCATCCCCTTATACATGAATTTCGATTCCTGTGTGAATGAGCTCCCCCTGCTGCTCCTGAAGCAGAAATTCACAGATGGGTTCTGCTGCCCTCCGTCAGGAAGCACAGATAAGGTAGTAAACAGAAAATGCTATATTCATTTCGGCCCAGTAAGAATCCAGATGAGGATATCACTATGAAAGTTAGGAAGAATAAACAAAGCAAGGAAAAGGATTTCATTTCAAAGATTTTCCCTGGTTATTACAGACCATGAGGAGCCAATGAAAAAATAAAGATTTCTAAAATTCATTCTTTTAACTCTAGAGGATACAGACATTTTAGCTCAGATATTGAAGGCTTTCATTTATATTTCTAAAATCAGATTTTCTCCTAAAAACACAAGTCTGTAGAAATACAGGTAACTTCCAAAGATACATAAGGGTTCTATGACAGAAAGATTTCTAAAACCAAGAAAAATGGATTTATAGGCAGTCACCATATTCTATTTAAAGAAAGACCAGTGACAAGAAACAAGAATTGTGGAAAGAAAAGCTCTTTCAAGAAAGTTGATTTAAAAAGTCATTGCCCTATTTCTTATTGCTCAGGCTTGAGTTCTCATTCATCTGAAAATAGTCTCTGGTGATCCTGAATCTTCTGCTTCTGGATGGCTAACCATGATTCAGAGAGGCTGGGCAGATGGTGGGGAATGAGAAGGCTTCCTGCTGCCTTGGCCACCTTGAACAGAGGAGCCTTATGCATGGAATACCAGCTTTCTGCCCAGGCCGCTCTTAAATGCAGCCGATCTGGCACTAAGAACCTGGGTACCAAAATCTCATGTCAAGAAATACCAGCAAGAACACATCTCTATTCCTGGGGAGGCTACTCAGACCCCAAAAAATGCTTTGAGGAACATTTAGAGATAAATTACTTACATGTATTTTAGATCAGGAGTTTTCAAATTTATTATCAGCAGAACTTCAATATTAAAATAATGAAAGTAAGATGCCCAAGCTTAGGAGCTTGGGTGGGGGCGTGTTCGTAGACCAGCTGCCATCATGTCCCGTGCTGGCTCTCAAAGGACGACCTCTGCGGAGCATTCGAGTTGTAAAGAATGTGGTTTCGAAACATTATTTTATTTATTTATTTATTTAAATTTATTCAGTTAGTTAGTTAGTTTTGGCTGCGTCGGGTCTTCGTTGCAGCTCGTGGGCTTTCTCTAGTTGTGGTGAGCAGAAGCTACTCTTCGCTGTGGTGTGCAGGCTTCTCGTTGTGGTGGCTTCTATTGTTGTGGAGCATGGGCTCTGGGTGCGCAAGCTTCAGTAGTTGTGGCACGCGGGCTCAGTAGCTATGGCTTGCGGGCTCTAGAGCGCAGGCTCAGTAGTTGTGGTGCACGGGCTTAGTTGCTCCGCGGCATGTGGGATCTTCGCGGACCAGGGCTCGAACCCGTGTCCCATGCATTGGCAGGCAGATTCTTCTTTTTTTTTTTAATTAATTAATTAATTAATTTATTTTTGGCTGTGTTGGGTCTTTGTTTCTGTGCGAGGGCTTTCTCTAGTTGCGGCAAGCGGGGGCCACTCTTCATCGCGGTGTGTGGGCCTCTCACTGTCGCGGGCTCTCTTGTTTCGGAGCACAAGCTCCAGACGCGCAGGCTCAGTAGTTGTGGCTCACGGGCCTAGTTGCTCTGCGGCATGTGGGATCTTCCCAGACCAGGGCTCGAACCTGTGTCCCCTGCATTGGCAGGTGGATTCTCAACCACTGCGCCATCAGGGAAGCCCAGCAGGCAGATTCTTAACCGCTGCGCCACCAGGGAAGTCCCTCGAAACGTTATTTTAAATTATTAAATGTTATTTCTCTTTGACCTCTTTTTTGATAAAGATATTTTTAGGAGACAAGAATCTTCAGTTTCATTTCATTTTTACATTTCTTATTTTTTCTGATTACAAAGATGATACCTGTTCACCGTAAAGGAAAGCTCAAACGTTACAGAAATATATATTGTAGAAATGTATCCCCTCATAATCATTGAAGAGAGTAAATTTCTCCCATAATTTTACCCTCCAAAGTTTGCTATTAGCAGTTTAGATTATATTCCTCCACATATTTTCTTTTTAAAGGAAAAGACAAAATCAAACTGTATATTACTTTGTAACTTGCTTTTTTTTCTTATTAAATCTTGAATATCTTTTCATATCTCAGGCTTACATATTGATAGAGCTTTTCATTTCAATTATAAAAATATCATAAAAAGGTACCCATGAATTCTTAAAAATCAAAAAAAATTATTTTCTAGCAGTGAATTCCATGGTCTTCTTGTTGATCTAATAGAGGAATGTAGTCATTGCTGTTTTAGTTTAGCAGGCCACCTGACGCAGCAGTCTTACAGGTTGTCAAGCTCAGTCAGCAAGGATTCTCTTTAGACTCCATTCTCAGAATTCTCTTTCTTCAGATCGTTCTACTATCCTCTTTTTTTTTCTCCATGTTTCATTTCCAGTATCTTATTTATAGCTGTTAAGAGATCCCATAGATGAGCATTATGTAGCCATGGAAGTACCACTTACAGCCTACTCATAGAGTTATCAAAACCTGTGTCCAACATTCTCTCTGTGGCCAGGCTAGATGGGTTCCTTTCTGCTTGCTACTCTTTTGTTTAGGGTGATAACAGTCACTTAATAAAAAATGTTGATTCTGTGCCAGCTGCCATGCGGCATGTGCTAACACAAGGGTTGGGAGGTCAAAGCCTGTACTCTCACAGAGCTTGGTCTGGGGCAGGCACTGTGGCTCTGCCTCCAGGGGAGGAAGCATGGCAGGTCGTGTAGTTTCACGTAGGCATAGGAAAGGGAGAGGCAGCGTCAGCTGTAACAACAGTGGTCTCACTTCTCCTTCCCCCCATCAGGCATCCCCAACTTCCTTATCCGCCCTAGATAAGAGAACCTGTCTTATCCCTTATCAGAAGCCACATTACCTTGTGGCTGTGAGAAACTCAGTGGTAGAGTTTAAAGAGCTTTGAGGCTAGAAACATACTTAGGCAGAAAGGCAGGTAAGGCCAGACAGACTTATATCATGGCCCCCACACTGCCTCCTGTTATGTCTTTGTCCTCTCCAGCACTCTGTGAAATGGGGCTAAACAACCTGTGGATGGCAGAATGACGTAAAGAGCTTAAAGCCTGTTAGACTGTGTCTGACGCATTTAGTTCTCAGGGATTATGTTCATTTCTTATTCACGTCACCCCACCCCATTCCCTGCAACAAAGACATCTATGTATGTCCCTAAGGCTAGGCTACTGAAAAAAATCCTAGGTTGTACGGGAAAATTTGTCAGATTGCCACCCATTCCCCTACTTCCATCTATATTTTGTATAGGAACCTACACAGTGTCCTCTAAAAAAAAGAGTACTTCCAAGTTGAGAGTATTATCCAATGTATTAGCCTCAAATCCCAGTCTTCTCTTTAAGGAAACTTGAGGTGGTAACTCTTTGCCCTCAATCCAAATTTTTTTAACCTTGATTGATGAAACTATTTGTACATTTAAAAAATTTTCAAGCGCCTAACTTTCATTATTCATGCAGCCCAGCCTTAAAAGATGAATTTGTAATTCAGGGGTATAAATGGCTAATTTAGTTCTATCCAGAGTTTTTGGTTTTTATCTTTGTAAAACCAAAAAAGAACAGGATTTGCAAATTCGTACAGGTGCAAAGTAGGAAATATATCAATAAACGAGTAAAACAGACTGGGAGTAAACAAGTAGATCTTTTTTCACTTCCAATGGGAACATGAGTACAAGAGATATCCCACTCTTAATTTCTTTGAAATAGTAAGACAAGTATGACAAAATCGACAATTTGTCCTTGGTGTCAAGAAGATAATAGAAAGTAGAAGAGACTGTGGTAAAGTGCAAAGTAATATACTCCATCTCAAGGAGGCAGCAACTTTTTGACAATAGCCAGTTTTTATCATATGAAAACTTCTTCAAGAAAAGCCAGAAATCCAGATATTTTGAGAGATTTCAAGATATACTTTTGAGATTAAAAACAAATAAAAATAAAATAAAAAATTTAAAAGTATATATATATATCAGTAACTGTTTAAACACCACGTAGGCAAAAAATAACACCTGCCGGACAGCTTCACCTCTGGATAGTGGTTTATAATCTCTGATAGAGACCATACTTTTAGCTTAATCTTTTTTGTTTGTTTGTTTCCCAACCTAATTGTTTTTTTAATTGAGGTGAAATTCTCATCACATCAACTTAACCATGTTAAAGTGAACAACTCAGTGGCATTTAGTAGGTCCACAGTGTTGTGCAACTACCACCTCTGTCTAGTTCCAAAACATTTTTATTACCCCAAAATGAAACTCAGTACTCATTAAGTAGTTACTCCTCATTTGCTCCTCCCCTGCCTCTAGCAATCACCAATCTGCTTTCTGTCTCTATAAATTTACCTCTTCTGGGTATTTCATATAGATGGACTCATACAGTATGTGACCTTTTGTATCTGGTTTCTTTACTTAGCATAATGTTTTAAGATTTATCCATATTGTAACATGTATTAGTACTCCATTCCTTTTTAATAGTCAAATAGTATTCCATTTGTATGTATATACCACAGTTTGTTTATCCATTCACCCACTGATAGATTTGGATTATTTTCACCTTTTGCCTATTGGGAATAGTGTTGCTGTGAATATTAATGCACTAGTATTTGTTTGAGCACTTATTTCCCATTCTTTGGGGTATATACCTACAAGTGGAATTGCTGGATCATATGGTAATTCTATGTTTAACTTTTCTGAGGAACTGCCAAACTGTTTTCCACAGCAACTGAATCAGTTTACA